AACTTGTAGCACTTAGTATGGACTACACATAGGTCAGTGTGATCTGGGAACTGATTTACAAAGCTGCCTCCTGGCCCCATTGCAGACCTACTGAACCTGAGTCTCTGAAAGTGAGACTCAGGGATTTGCCTCTCCCAAGCCTCCCTAATGAGGTTGATGGAACACTAAGAAGTGAGCATTTGGGGGGGTGGGGGAAGGTAGTTGCCGTGCAGAACAATCCTGATCTATCTATTTCACTCTGTCATAATTACTATGAAAATACTAGTGCCTGACTAACCAGAAAGGAGTCTTGGGCATATATTTCTTCATTTGTTAGATAAATGCACAGAATACACATAGGGCAAATTTAAAGTCAGCCAGAAGGAGGCAAGAAGAACCTAATGCATTGAGTCAACTGTGTAAGAGAAGCTAAATATTTGGTTAATAACTTATTGCTTGAGACAAAATTTTGAAGAAAGTTTCTTTAGGCAAACTTGTCTAGAACATCCTTAAAGTGTTCTAAAGCAAATAAAATAAAATCTACCCTTGAGGATATAAGACACCCTATCATTCACAAATTCTCAGTGATAAAAAAACTTTCATAAATAGAAAATTCAATTGCAACTTCCATTACACAAATTAGTTTAAAAAGTACCCTTTAATTGCATATATATAATTAAAGCAATATAATGGTTAGGTGAATAGATTTGGGGCAAATTAGTTATTTAGCGAATTGGTTTAGGGCAAATTGGTCTTTTACTTTTTACATGTTGGGGGCATAGAAGTACAAGTGGAATCTAGAGACCACTCTGATGACCTGTCAGGATGGACATTGGTCAGATGCTGGGTGGAACCAGTGCCTCCTGGCCATTGTGTGCTAGGACATCTAGACTTGTCCTCAAAGCAACTTAACACCTTCAATCAGTGATTGTCTGGCTCCTGGTGTATGGTAAGCCCCTGGGAAGCATTTTAAATCCAAATACTTGGCCCAGAGATTCTGATTCAGTAGGTCAGAGGTGAAGCCCAGGAATACGCACTTTTAGGAAGCCTCAAGGGACTGTTGCAGGTGACCCAAGTACTCTTCTCTAAGACATAGTGTCCTTTTGTTCAGAGAAAAGGACAAGAGTAAGAGGCCAAAAGTGGTTTTCATCCCTGGCTTTTTAGAAATGCAGTGCGGAACCCCACCCTAGAATCCCTGAGAGAGGGGGTGGGGGCAGCCTCGGTGTGATTCTGCTGCACCCCCAGGCTTGAGAACCAGCAGTCCGTGAGCACACACTCACCAGGCAGCCACGGAGCCCTGAGCGTCTCTGTGCACGCCATGCCAGGGGCTGCCCGCTGAAGCACACGTAGCAGGAGCTAGTTGGAAGACAAAGCTAACACAAACGCAGCCAGCAGTAACCCACACAGAATGGAGCAGAATTCAGTGGGGCTGCTGACCATCAGGGTTGCGGGAGCTCAGGGGAGGAAAGGCTGCAAGGGGGAAGGTGAGCCTTCAGTTGCTCCTTTAAGGGACAATGCAGTTTTAATCATCAGGCAGGAACAGAGAAGGCGTTTCAGGAGATGAGTACGACAAAGGCCCCAAAGAGGGAATGAGTGTGGCTGTTGGGAAACCTAGTATGGAAACTGGCCAGATCGAGAGGCCAGAGTGAGCCAGGATAGGGCAGGAGACACGTGGGGGAGCTGAGGCTAAGAGTCACACTCGGACTTGCAGGTGGACTGGAGCATGGAGCCATCGCGGGACATCAAGCACGGCCAGTGGGAGCTTTAGGGTGGGGCCAGATTAGAAGACTGGGACCCCGTTACCCACACAGTAAGAGGATAGGAGGTCCCAGGCTGGTGAGAGATAGGATCTATCAGAGGGAAAGAAGATGAAGGCATTCACAGAAATCCAGAATGGCAGATGGTGTACAGCTGGTTCCAAATTGTGCCTCCAGATCTGTTATGCGGAAAGATGTCATAGAAATAGGCATTGCCACGTTAACAAAGATCTAAGCTGCCCAGACACTCTGCAGTTACCAACAATGCCAGGGAAAGGTAGGGCCTGCATAGAAAGCAGACATTCCACCTGAGGTTAGCCTTTTTCTTAATTTCCTCTCTTTCTACCAAAGCCACTGGGCCAAAAATTACTTTAAATGATCCACTTTCATTCTCTTATTTAATTTATGGCCATTTGTAGCGAAACAACCAGAAAGAGGAGACAGGCAGGAAAGGAGACATCTTTCCTAGAACTATAAAAGTAACCACGTCCACTAATTTGTTCCAGCTGGTCATTTCTTCCTTTCCTGTTTTGATAGCATTCCTAGGGCCCACTTGGCCGATTTTCCAGTGATGAGACCAAGTAAGCTTTGCTCTGGAAGCAGTGACAAGAAATACTGTAGTGGAGTGGGATCAGGAAGCTGTCACTTAACAAAATGGGCCCTTTCTAGGTAAAGAATCCTATGCTGCCCTCCTGGCTCTACTTTCTCCTGACCAAGCGAATGAGCACCTACCTGCCTTAGACAGAAAACCAGAACCTGAAACTGGGATCACAGGTTAAGGTCCCCAGAGGAAAACCTTTAACACTTCTGGACACATTGCATCTTCTGGGTTTACACTAAAGCTTCCAAGAGTCACAGAAGCAGGCCTTTCAATAACAGGAACCGGACAGAGGAGTTGACTTTCTGCATCTCAGCACTGCCTGTGATGCTCCTGAAGGTGCTACTTTGTGTGTGTCCATGCGGGATCATAATGAACAGGATGAGACCTCGGGGATGAGCACAAAGGAGCCTTGTGGTTATGCCTCATTAGCATCTTGGTGTTAGGGGGTCAATCTTATCAGGCCCCATGGAATGATTAGATTTGTCTGTATCTTAGCTATGGGGTCAGCACTTTAGCGTGCATACACCCACAGCTGCAAGATCCTAAAATTGTAATCTATTTTGTACTCACATCTCCCTCCTGGAATACCTGTTTCCAGGGAAGGTGTGAATTCATCTGCAGCACATCATCACAGTTCAGCTCATTCTGTAAACATAGTTTGCGACTCTTGCAATGTGAGCTGGGCACTGAATGAGATGCTAAGAATACAGTGGTAAATTGCACAAGGTCACTGTTCCCCAGGGGAGGAGACAGCTACATAAATAGGAAGTGCAGGATAGTTCCTTAGGAGTCTGTTTTATCACCTGGAAAAGTGAGGTTATGATGGCATCTACCTCATGGGCTTGTTATAAGGATTATATTGGTTAATGTGACGAGCACTTGGAATGATACCTGACACATCCTAAGCATGATACAAGTCTCAGCTGCAGTTATCACTCTCGTCATCATTACTGCCGCTGTGGTGAGCACTGACATAACACACATCCACGGTGCAGAGTGGAAAGAGTGATCTAATGACCAAGGAAGGTTTTTCAGGGGAGGCAGTTTGTGGGCTGGATCTTGAAGGGATAGAAGGAATTGACCAGGAGAACAGAGGAGAATATTCCAAACTGAGGGAGAGCAACATACCAAGGCCTGTGAGTATGGAAACATCAGACAGTTTAGGGAACTCAGAGGTGCAGCGGTGGGTACGGATGCGTGTGGGTTATGGTGGGAAAAGACCTTCTCAGTGGAGTAGAAGGAGGCCATCTGCTGAGGGCAAGGAGCCTGGAGGAGGCCAGGAAGACCACAGCAGCTCTCCTGGAGCAGCCAAGGCCATCTGTAGACTTGGCTGACGGTGGAGACTCTGAATTTGTAGGATACCAAATAAGTAAAATCCACAGGAGAAAAGTGGTACATGTCGTAGAAGAGACTCTCATCAGGGGCTTTTCAGGTTGCATAGGAAAGGTCACTTCAAACTGGGGGAACCAGAACAGACTTCACAGAGGTACAGTGTGGACATGGAGAGATGAACTGAACAGCAGACAGCCCATGGAAGGCCTTGAATGATGACCGGCAAGTTTTAGTCCATTGATGGGTTTTAAATGGAGGAATGCCATAATCAGATTTGTGCTCTAGGAATGTCATTTTGGCAGGGCTGTGGAGTTAGACTAGAGGAAGACCACACTCAAGGCAGACTGTTAGTTGTTAGTTGGAGAAAAATCTGAGACCCCTGGGATCAAGAGTAGACCGTGCAGTGCTCACCGATGTGGGGTGCCAGGTGTGAATTCCAGACACCCAACTCCTCCACTGCCGTACCCTTCCACCTGGCCTATCCCAGGCAAGCCTGCAATGCAGGGGCTCAACCATGCCCCTTACCACTGCTTGATGATTTCCAGGAATGTACAGAGGACTACAGGGTCTCCCCAAAAACACCCTGGGGACTGCTTTGACCCTAAGCCCCCTAAATGTGGAGCATCTCTGGGAAGCCTCGATGGCACTGTCAGGGACCCGGGGGTTGGCTCTGCATAGGTTCCAGCAGCCCCAGATGCCCATAGAAGCCTGTCTGTGATTTGAACAGCTCTCCATGGATGGCGCTGCATGGGTGCACCAGCCCAGCACCCACACTAACGCCTCAACCCCGCTGGTGCACCCGAGCCAGGCTCTTGGACATCTAATCCTCACAAAGCATCCTCCCCAGGTGGGATGATCATCCCCAGGTGACAGATGAGGGACACATGCTGTGAGTGGACTTGAATCTAGGGTTAGCTTCTAGTGCTATGCATATTGGAACGTGCCAGCTGGAAGGATATGTTCACATTACGAAGGCAAAACTGTAGACATGGTTGCACGTCCTAGAAAAGGTTTCTTTGACGGGCCACATGTTTCCATGAGCAGAAGAGTTCATCACACTCCCCTTCCTGCTGCCTTATTCTCTGGGCTGCCCATAAGCCTCAGTGTGACATGCGTGACCCAGACACTGCACATTTGGCCAGCACACTTCAACAGGAGACGGGTTGGTGGAGGCTTGCTGAGTGGCACTTGCCACACTGGTGTCTAAAGCTGATGCATTTTATCTAAGGGGCCACCTCAATGGCCACAGTCCCGAGGTGAGCACAAGTGGTGTTCTGAGTTTCTTCTGACCCCCAAATTCACATCTGCCTCTCCCCCTCCTTCTGCCACAGATCCTGGCGCCCCTGTGAAATTGCCTTGTCTGCCAGTGAAACTGTCCCCTCCGCTACCTCCAAAGAAAGTCATGATCTGTATGCCTGTCGGGGGGCCGGACCTCTCCCTGGTATCCTACGCAGCAGCCCAGAAGGGCAGCCAGCAGAGCGTGGCCCAGCACCACCACATGGTCCTGCCATCCCAGATCCAGCACCAGCTGCAATATGGCAGCCATGGCCAGCACCTCCCCTCCGCCACCGGCACCCTCCCCATGCACCCCTCCGGCTGCAGGATGATAGAAGAGCTGAACAAAACGTTGGCCATGACCATGCAGAGGCTGGAAAGGTAATGAAGGGGAGGGGACCCGCTGGGGAAGTGGGGCTGGGGATTTGGATCATGACGGAGGACGATGAACAAGAGCTTAATACCACTGGAGAAAGAAAAGTTTGAAAGTAAAATCAGACCAAAAACATAACGTCAAGGAAAGTATGGAAGAAAAGAGTAATGTTGCCAATTGCCAAACTATCGAATAATCACATTTATCAAAAAGAACAAGTAACATACATACGTATCTCAAGGGTACCTCACACAGTTCTTGGACAGAGTTGTGTTATCTTTCAATTCTAGTTTTCTTATGTTTTCTTATGTTCTTTTTTTTCTTGTTTCATATCTTAATATGTTTCTATAAACATTTACATTTTGTGAAAGGACGTGCACATAATCATTAATACAGGGTACCTCTGGGGTGAGGATGTGGGGAGAAAATACTTTATATTTCATATCTTTCTGTACTGCTTACTTTTCAATTTTGTGGATATTTTATGATATTCAAAAGACCATTTAAATGTGTAAAAATGAAAGATGCGAGTTGGCAGAATGGTGGAGGAAACAGGAGGGATGGGGAAGGTGGGGAGGCGCATCTTGTTTCTGCTAATGCAGGAAGCAGAGTGTGAGAGTCCAGTTGTATGCATGGGAGCCTCTAACATATGGCAGCCTCTGGTGCAGCCCCAACTTCCCCCAGAATCTGCCTCCCATAGCGTTTCTAGGAGACCTGCAAAGAGGACCCTCATGGGCAGGCCTGCAGCAGAGACCCTGACTCCTCCCCAGATCAGGGGAGATCTCATCTCTCACACTGGCTCTGAATTGCTCGTGTGTGTGTGTGTGTGCGTGTGCACGCACGCGCGCGCACATATGTACATGTGTACACATATTGCCACCCTCCTCGTCCCCAAGAAATGCCTGGGATTTCCCAGTATGACGCCAAGGCATGTTGCTTGACCGAGTTCCCTGACATGACACCAAGAAAGTGTTTTGATCTGGCATGAGGACTGTGTCTGAACTGGGACCCTGGATGCCTGTCCCAGGGTAGTGACTGCTGTTCACTGGGACCTGCAGGTGGGCAAATTGTGGACTGGGAGGCCCAATGGATCACTGCAGCGGAGAGCCAAAGGCAGGATGGACGCAGGCGGGAGCTCTAAGTAGTGTTTTCCTGCCTCTCAGCCAAGTCTGCTGTGGTTGGAAAAAAGCGACTTCAAGTGGGATGTTTCTCTCTAGGAATTCTGACTTAATTACTTTCTGTTAATCCCTACCCTGGCTGCAAACAAAAGAACCAAAGTTTAATTTGGCCCTTTGCCATTATTTCCAACTACTTTTATTATTAATGAGAAAAAGAATAACTTCAAATTTGAGTGGTGTCTTTTCATCTGTTACACACACATCATCATCATCATATTTAATCCTCACACTACCCAGGGAGACAGAGTAAATGGAAAAACCGAGAAAGGCTAAGTCCCCCAGTGCCACCTGCCCAAAGGCTGGCCCTCAGACTGCTTGTTACCCATCTGAACCACGTTAAGTGCAGAAATTGAGAACAAGTTTTTAAATACTTTCACAGCAGTTTGACAGAATAATTTTATGTCTGTTGAATCTTATAATTAAAAAGGGCTTTATTTTTGTACATTTTTATTATATTTTACAAAAGCATCAGTTTACAATGGATTGAAAATTAAAAGAAATAAACAATAAGAACTATTCCTTCTTGGAGACATTTGAAAAGCGCTGCCTAGGTAGTTAGTAGAGGGGTCAAGCCTTCAAGCCTGGGTCCTTCTATTCCAAGACCAGAATTCTTTCTACCGTAACACGGCTGTTTTCCTAAAGACAACCAGCAGTCAATGTAACTTCCTTCCTCCAGGTCTACTGTATACCCAGTAGGTTTTTGTATCTCTCCTGAGCTTTAATCATCTGGAAAAGATACTCGTGACAGCATACTGGTTGGATATTGCTAAATATGTTTCCTCTTAAAGCATGCCATTTTAAAAGGTTCAATTGCAGATGTTAACCAATAACTTGCATCATGTTCCTTATAATATCCATAGGTATTTGTGGACTATTTCAGTTGAGTTTAGACCAATTGGTGGGTCTGTTGGACTTACACTGGGTCAGGTTCTTTATTGAAATGCATTAAAGAGAACAAACTGGGAGGGGGATATTGGGATTTTTGGGGGTGGGCACAGCATGATCTTGGCAGCTGAGCCAAGGTTGTCTCCATACTTTGTGTCCTCCCCACACCTCCTGACTTTTGTTACCTCCTCTGTCTCCCTCACCTTCCACCCTTGGCCAAGATATAGCGTTGTCCTAACAGGCAGCCAGGACCTAGGGAATTAATGTATGCATCACCTTGGCAAGACCACTGCCCCTCCAGAGAGGCCTTCTTCCCAAACAAATAAAGATTGCAGAGATTTTTTAAAACATCCACATTATCTCCCAGGAGTCCTGGAAGGATCTGAGAGCCGGACAAGGTGGCAGGCCATTTTTCAGTGTAGTGAGGGGACTGCAGCTGTGTCAGGTGATGATACTCTTGCTTTTACAATCTAAAAATTCTCCCCATTGCTTGTCAACATGATTTTATTCTCATTCTAACCAAGTTACAGATGCAAAGGAGAAAGTATTTCTCTATCCTCCTTGGCAATTTCCAGTGACTCCACAAAGCTCTGCAAGAAGGAAGAAGCGTTACCAAACACTTAGGCATTCTGCCTGCAAAGATCCTTGCGCCCACCCGCTGTTTGTGCTATCACTGCCCCCTGAGATGGAGTGGAACATCACCCGTAGGGCATCAGTGCAGACCTGTAGTCTGATCCTGATGGAAAAGTTGTAGATAACGTGAAAATCAAAGGATGAATTAAACAGCATTAACACTTGACTTTCAGCTATACATTTGTGTAGTCATTTTATAATTGAAAGAAAACCATCTATGCAGACAACCACCTGCCCATGACAGCATTCCTGACCATGTGTCCTCTAGTCTCTGCTTCAAGGGGAACCTCACAGGTCCCAAGATAGCTTGCACCATTGTCAAGAAGGTCTGCTTGTTATAAAGTTCTTCTTAAATGAAGGGTTTTATTTACTGTAACTTATACCCTCCCAATCTTATTTCTAATCTTCCTTTTCTGTGAAAGGCTTTCAATCTTTGAAGAAAGCTACCATTTTCTTTCTCTAAAGGCTTCTTGAGACCTTTTACCATCTTGCTCATGTTCCTGCAAGGTTATGCTAAATCGGTTCTGATGTATGAAGAAGTTCTTAATTACTACTCTGACTAAGCCTGCTCGATGGCACTAAAAAGTGACATGTAGTTATTAACAGCTTTAGCTCATCAGGTTTGCAAGGAGGGGTTCAGAATGAGGGAACTAGAGAACAGCTGAAGCAAACGTAAAGGGTTCCAGTTAGTATTTATTCAAAGCCACAGGGCTGTCCCAGGCCATGTGGCCGCACTGGAGGCAGTCTGACCTCATGACAGAGTGCACGGGTTCCAGCATTTAACTGCAGAGTTGGAATCTCAGACACACCACTTATTAGCTGTGTGACCCTGAGCATATTTCTTAATCTCTTCTTACCTTTCATTTCTCATCTGAAGGATTATAATAGTACCACCAGCTTCATTAGGGTTGTTCATGAGGATTGCATGATTTAATCCATCCAAATTAGTCAGGTTATTGCATGGCACACAGTAAGCATCCAGTAAATGGCAGTGCACGTTAAGCAGAATTATACAGCACATAAAAGTTGTCTTCAGTGACCCTAAAAGGCATATTGCAAATGTGTGTTAAATCCAATCTTGTTGAAGATTTTGTTTGTGTCAGTTTCCTCAAATTAGATTGTCTTCATTTCTTTCCAGTGGTGATTCTTATCTTTTTCGAAGCTGATGCTTTATAATTTCAAATATTATGCATTTTTTTTAATATCTGCAGTAAGCTCTGTGATCTAGTTGGCATCAATCCTGGAATTCAGACTGAAAATCCTAATTAGCTACTAATTTTCTTTTCTGATCTTAATTCAGTTGGCCAGTTCTCTGTGCTCTAGTTTCCCTGATAATGAAACAAAGGTGAGATATGAATCTTTGTTGACCCTGAAGGAATTTTAGGAAGATTTTTAAGAGAATACACTTTACAGAAGTCTTACCCTTCTCAGTTCAGGGCAGCTACGTACTTCGAGTTGCTCATACCAAAAACCTGGAGTCACCTTTGACATGTTTTTCTGTCATCCCCCTTGTCTGATCATCCGCAAATCGTATCTGGTTTACTTGGAGAATACATCTAGGATCGGCCGCTTCCCATCTGTTCCTGCTACCCCCTGGTCTAGGCCTCCGTGGTCCTCACCTGGTTTGCTGCAGTCCCTCCTACCTGGTCTCCTGCTTCCCCTCCTGCCTCTCAGTCCATCCCCGACACAGCAGTCAAAGAGATGTGTGTGACAAAAATCAGATCATGACTGTATTAGTTTGCCAGGGCTGCCATAACAAAGAAGCACGGAATGGGTGACTTAGACAACAGAAATTTGTTCCCTCACAGTTCTGGAGGCTGGAGGTCTGACACTGAGGTGTCCGCAGGGTTGGCTTCTTTAGAGGCCTCTGTCCTTGACATGTAGGTGGCCATCATCTCCCTGGGTCATCACGTGGTCTCCCCTCTGTGTGTGTCTGTCCTCATCTCCTCTTCTTAGAAGGACCCCAGTTATACTGGATTAGGGCTCACCTTAGCAGCCTTATTCTAACTTAATTACCTCTTTAAAGACTCTACCTCCAAATACAGTCACATTTGGAGGTACTGAGGGTTGGGACTTCAACATATGAGTTTGTTGGGGGAGGATGCACAGTTCAGCTCTTAACAGTGACCATGCCCAAAACGTTCCCATAGTCGTCCAGTTCACTAAGAGTAAAAAGCCAAATCCTCACCGTGGCCCAGAAGCCTGCCACGGCCTGGCTCTTACTGTCTCCCTCATTTTGTCTCCTGCCCTCTGCTTTGGACATGCCTCTCCCACCACAATGGCCTTCCTGCCATCCTCACAGGCCTTGGACA